CTTTCTTTCTTTCTTTCTTTTATCTTCTTTCTCACCCAACAACCATCTATTTTTTCTTATAAAAGGCCAAGAGTAATAATATTAATTTCCCTAATACTCCAAACCGCCTGAACCATTCGACCCGGATGGTCGAACCGTTGACCTAGAAACAGGTGGCCATAGCGGTTCCATTTCCGGGTTGGTTTTTAAAACCTTGCTTTTAATAACCCCTCCTCATTAATTATTTCATTAACTCTCACCGTTAATAACCCATGCTAATAATTTTCTCTCATCTCCATTACTCCATTAAATTTCATAAAATTCATTAATTTTTCAATATCTATATCCATTTCAATTTAACTATAATTTTTTATATACTAGAAATTATATTTGTATTAAACTTTAATTATTAGTAAAGATTAATTATATTGAAATTGAGATATTCAATGATCTATTGGGCTACATAATCTACTTCCATTTATAATTATAATCCATTTACATTCTATTTGAAAATAATAAAAATTAGTTATTAACCATAATAAAGATAATTGAGTAATTACTTAAATAAAATAAAAATAAATATTCATTATTTTTATTAATAAAATTATTTTTATTAATATAATAAAAAATATTTAATTAATAAAAGGAATAAGATAAGTTAAAAACTAATAGCAATTTAAAATTAATATAAAACTAATACAAAATTATCTAACAATTATTTGTTTTATAATTCAATTTTACTAATGCAAAACCAACTTAAGTTCCACTGAAAAATAAAAACTTTATATAGTTAATTGAATTTCATAAGGAATTTAAATTTAATAAAAACTTAATATACTTAACTAAATTAATTTTTTTACTAATTTCAAAAATTAATAAAAATATTAATATTAAATATATTTTGATTATTTTTAAATCAATTTAAATTCCATTTAAAAATAAGGAAAATTATAAAAGCCTCCTTGGGTTTTCTAACAATCCTATGAAACTCTTCAATGTTTTGACCTTAAGAAAAACTCCCCTATTATTTTGAAAAAAGGTGCAAATACCTTCATTTTGTTAGTATTCCAAATAAAAAATGTTGATGTAATGCATTAATTTTACTTCACTTCAGCATTAACAATGATAAGGGTATTTCGGTCCAAGAAGGGTAAGGAGAATTATTCTTTGAAAGTTGTGTGGCAAAATAAATTAGTGGATGGTAAAGTTGAAACCTTAAATTGTGTATGATAATGCATTAACAATGATAAGGGTATTTCGGTCACTTCAGTGTCTTTGTTACTAAAATGCCAAGGGAAAGGAGGTATTTGCACTTTTTTCTCAAAACTATAGGGGAGGAGGCCTTTGTTAGGGTCGAAACACAAAGATGGTTTATAGAATTTTCATAAGAGATTTTTTTTATAATTTACCTAAAAATAATACAAAAATAACAATAAATTAATAAAAATTAATAAAATTTTATTTTTTAAAAACTTAATAAAAATTAGCATTAAGATACAAAAAAATACAAATTTATCTAGAGAATAGGAAATTGGCCACTCTCATTAAAGCACAACTTAGATTGTGATTGGCTAAACTAGACTATCGACACAAATTTTGTGTATTTGATTAGCACAAAATATGGAGACAAATTACAAAAATAAATTTGTAATAAAGAAAAATAAACAAGGGAATAAAATCTCTTTGATTTATGCTCGATGACGTGAGCAACCTCTGATTAACGGTCGAATTTGGTGAAGACAAGAGCTGTTGGCGTGTTTCTCATACATTTTGAAATGTTGATGTAGATTTCCTTGATTTTGATGATTTGGGAGATTTGATATAGATTTCTTCACTTCGGACTTCACACTTGATCGGCTGTGAATGATGCTTCTCTAAGAAGGGCCCTTTTGTGGTGGCTTGATCTTCTTTGGAGAGCTTGAATCCAAGTGTTGTAGAGGATGAAGAAGCTTTTCCCTTCTTTCTTCTCTCTTGATCATGCAATTGCTGGAGTTTGCAGGAGCTTGTAATAGCTTGCAATCCTCAAGTGTTGGTGTGTGAGAGCTTCTGGCAATGTGATTCTCCAAAAGGGAAAAATGAATTCTTCCTAGGCAAGGCTATTTATAGCCAAAGATTAAGGCTGCCACCTCAGCCCACTTAGATAACCAATCCATGTAAGTGAGGTGTTAGGTTAGGGTTAACTCCCATGCATGCACCATTATGTAGGAGTTAGTGGTTTTGCTAATAGGACCACCCTATCACAATAGAAGATGGGCTAGATTGGACTTAATACACTTGGATCCTTAGGCCACCAACACATATTTATGTAGACTTGGGCCTTGAGCCCATGGAGGCCCATCTTAATTCAGAGGCTGTCATGTAAATTAAGCCCATTTATTTGGCTTAAAAATTCACATGTCTACATAGACATAACAAAAAAAAAATAATACTTGAATGGAACTTATGAGCACTACTTAATTGGAAATTTCATAGAGCTCTATCTTCAATTTTCCTTAAAAATAAAGTTTGTGCATCACATGGGTCCTAATGAATATTATTTTAAATCGCAACTAAATGGGCTGACATGTCATGTGTAAATTCCAATAGCCAATTGGTTTCATCTCTCTCTCTAATTCTAGAGGGATTTTTGGCTTTGACAACCCTTTAACTTTGTAAAAAAGCCACTTTAAACCCTAAAGAAGTAAAAGGATAATTTTTGCCCTCCAACTAAAATGGGCCACTTTAAGGCAAAATAATGCAGTTGAAGGACCATTAGACAATAAATAAAATAACAAAAGCATGCTTATGTGGATAAATCCCCACCCTAACTTTGATCCCCGTTGGGGATAAAAATGATTCTTCATCATCAATCCCTGATGGGGATAAGTTCCCCTGTCAAGGACTGAAATCCTCAAGTTTTTTTTCTTTTTAAATTAAAAATATTTTTAGAAAATATATTTACTTAAATAAGGGGATTTTTTAAAATATAAAAATAGTTTATATATATTTGACATATAATATAAATAACCTCATAAATAATATAACTAATATATATATATATATATATATATATATATATATATATATATCAAGACCTGAACCCTTGTCATTTATGTTAAAAAACAAATAGGATTTGCANATATATATATATATATATATATATATATATATATATATATATATCAAGGTTAGAGCGGGGTGGGGAATTCACTCCACATCCCCATCTCCATCCCCGACCCAATGGGGAAGGGGAAAATTGCAATCCATAAAGGCCACTTTAGAACCTAAGTTTGAAAAGGGACCACTTTAGATGTTAAAAAATCTGTTAGTTTAAAAATAAATTTTATTAACCTTGAAATAAATTACTTCAAGCATTTGATCAAATTAGAGTCATTAAATTAACAATTATTAATTTATTAATAAATAATTAATAATAATTAAGAGTAAATTATTACTTAAACACTAACTTAATTAGCTTAACAAATATTAAATTAACCATCACTTAATTTGCTTAATTAACTTAGTAACTCAATCTTCTTAAATAAACTAATTTACTTAATTTTTAATTACTTTATTTACTTGTTTTAATTTACTCAAACAACAATAATTGAATTTACTTATTTTCCTTAATTAGCTTTGATTATTTAATTATTCTATTTACTTAGCTTACTTTGCTTAGTTGACTTAATAAATTAGTTAATTCACTTAACTGACTTTATTTATTTATTTATTTATTTATTTTAATTAGCTTAATTTCTTTAATTTACTTAATTATATAACATATTTACTTAATTAATTTAATTTCCTTATTCAATTGCTCAATTTACATATTTGGCTTAATTTACTTATTTAGTTCAATTAGTTTAAGTTTTTTAATTTCTCTATTTATTACTTTTTAATTAATTAGTTCGCTTGCATGGTTTCAAAATTGTCGTTGACCTGTGTTGTCAAACTATTTGTCCCAGGAACCAATCAACTATCTAGTTCCACTTTATACATGATTTGAAATTTTCCAAAAAGAAAAAACATTGACTCGGTCAACAAATCAATGACCCATACGATTGAAACCTTGTTTAATTGTTTTAATTTACTTATTAATTTTATTAGATCGGCTTTTTGAATTTTAGGATCTAAAGTGGCCTTTTCAAACTTGAACAATTTCACATTAACATGCTTTTATCATTAAGGCATCATTAAAGGTGTCTCTAACGTCATTTCTTTTTGATTTAGGATAAAATACAAAAACCGTCTCTAAAGTTTCTAACAATCATAAAAACCTCCCCTATAGTTTTATTTTAATAAATACCCCCTAAACTTTTTAGAAACTTGACAAAAGCCTCCCTTCCACCACCGTCCCATATGGAAAACATTAGACTGATACATTCATTTTTTCCAAATATCCATTCTACCCTTTTATAAATTATTTTACATACAAAATTACTGAAATAATTCCATTTTAACTTAACAAAAATGCATATTTTAATAATTTTGTATGTAAAATTATTGAGGTGGTCGTTAAAAGAGTTTTTTTGTTGAGTTAAAATTGAGTTATTTCTATAATTTTGTATGTAAAATAATTTATAAAAGGGTAGAATGAGTATTTAGAAAAAACTGGTGCATCAATCTAACGCTTTTCATTTGGGACAGGGACGAAAGAGAGGTTTTTGTTGAGTTTCTCAAAAATTTAAGGGAGGTATTTGTTAAAATAAAACTATAAGAGTGATTTTCATGATTGTCAGAAACTTCAGGAGGTTTTTAAATTTTGCCCTTTGCCTTAAAATGATCTTTCCATAGTTTGAGGGTGAAAAATGACCTTTCAATTTTTTAGGGTACAAAGGGCTTTTATTTACAAAGTTGAAGGGTTGTCATAGCCAATAATCGAATTCTAAGGGCTAACATAAAAAAGAATTTTATTTATCCCAAGACCAAAATAGTGCCACTTGTCAAGCAATGACATGAATGGCATAACCAGAAGCCACCAATTAGAGATTTCCTTATCCAATCTCTTATCCGTCTCACACGAACGCCACCCATAATACTCTTCTTTTCTGCCTCCCTTGCCTTGAATATACAAGCATTTCATTGCAAGTAATAAAGGAGTGGGAGGGACCTCTCTCATTGGAGGAGGAGAAAGCAAAACAGGCGACAACCAGAAAATAATGGCAGCCTCTCTTCAAGCCGCGGCAACTCTCAGGCAGCCGACTAAGGTCGGCGTACCGGTTAAGGGCGGGCTGCAGTTGAGATCCACTCCGACCGTCTGCAAGAATTTCGGCTTCGACCCATCTTGCGCCAGGCTCACCTGCTCTCTTCAGAGCGATCTCAAAGAATTGGCTCAGAAATGTGTTGATGCCACCAAGATCGCCGGTTTCGCACTGGCTACCTCAGCTCTAGTGGTTTCGGTATGCCTTAATTACCTTCTCTTGCAGATGAACTAAATTTTGGCGAATTGATGGAATTTACTAAAAAAAATTAAAAATCCGGGTCTGTTATTCACTGGACTAGGGAGGGTTTACTCATTTTTGATTGGTTTCCTCTAACTGTATTATTGTAATGGGCATATTGGGAAGCACAACTTAATGGAAGTGGTGTGTGTTGCAGGGAGCAAGCGCTGAAGGAGTCCCTAAAAGGCTAACATACGATGAGATCCAGAGCAAGACATACATGGAAGTAAAGGGAACCGGAACCGCGAACCAGTGCCCCACAATTGAAGGCGGCGTCGACTCTTTTGCCTTCAAGACTGGCAAATACAACTTGAAGAAGTTATGCTTGGAGCCGACGTCGTTCACAGTGAAGGCGGAGGGTGTGAGCAAGAACGCCCCACCCGAGTTCCAGAAGACCAAGCTCATGACCCGTCTGACCTACACCCTCGACGAGATCGAGGGGCCCTTCGAGGTGTCCCCCGACGGAACAGTTAAATTTGAGGAGAAAGACGGGATTGACTACGCCGCAGTTACGGTTCAGCTCCCGGGAGGCGAGCGAGTGCCCTTCCTGTTCACCATCAAGCAGCTCGTAGCCTCCGGCAAACCTGAGAACTTCGGAGGACAATTCCTTGTGCCATCTTACAGGGGCTCATCTTTCCTAGACCCCAAGGGAAGAGGTGGCTCAACGGGTTACGATAACGCCGTCGCTTTGCCCGCCGGAGGAAGAGGAGATGAAGAGGAGCTGACCAAGGAGAACATAAAGGACCCATCATCCTCGACCGGAACGATAACCCTCAGCGTGACCAAGAGCAAGACGGAGAGCGGTGAGGTGATAGGAGTGTTTGAGAGCCTTCAGCCATCTGATACTGATTTGGGAGCAAAGACTCCTAAGGACGTGAAGATCCAAGGGATTTGGTATGCCCAGCTTGAGTCGTAGAAGCTGCACTTTTTGTTTTTTGTCTCCTGTATGCAATCTTCGTGTCGGATTTTGTATGAATAGAATGTCGGCTTTTTTTATTTTTTCGGTTTTACGTTATAAAACAAACACTGTTGTCGCTGGACGCTATCATCTTGGAAACTACTCAAATCAATAATCAGCCGTGTAAATGCGTGAGGCTTATTCTACCCTTCGTGGCTTATCTGTATCATGTAGCATGCGTTAAATAGGGATTCGTGTGTGAAATTAGATGATGAGCTGCTTCGTTGGGGATGAAGCCAATTTACCTGCACAGAATCATAAAAAGTCTGCCACCACACCACCACCATGAAATAGATGGTTCATTACTTAAAATCTTAAATACCATCTGTTTGACTAAAATAATGTGTGTTGGATATACCTTCTGACTGTTGATCTTCTTCTTTGAAATCCCAGTTCTCAGTTCTCACTGATTGTAGTGGCCTAGGCACCAGATCAGTACTCCAGCCACACCTGTGTCCAGATCGACACCTCATAGTCGAGGTGTTGAAGTACTATAACATTACCCTCTCTCAGATTCATCCGAACTCTATTAAGACTTTAGTAGGGACCATTTCGTTCTCCCATCACTTCGGTTTTCCTCTGGACCTCAAAACCTTTGCTTGCCTTTGTCACTTGAAAAGAAACCCTGCCGACCAATATAGCTTTTACTTCTCTTACCGGGCTGGCTTGTTGGTCGATTTTCCATCCAAAGTGCTCGAATGGCCCTTCAATACTAAGTGGAGGACTACCATTAGGGATACTAGGGAGGCTACCCTAAGTGAGGCCTTACAAGAGCGGGTGAAGGGTTTGATCAAGAAGAGAGCATGGGTCAGCGACTACCTGACCGTGGAGGCACTAATCTGAGCCGGGCTGAGTCCTTAGGGTAGGTCATCGTCTACTGACGCTTTGGTGCTTTCCTTGGTTATGTTTGTCTCTTTATCTCACGATATGTTCATGTATACATAGGTTAAATGGGTGGCGTAAACACATTGGGGGTTCTCCATCAAGCTAAGAAGCAGACGAGAAAAAGGAAGGCCAGAGATTCATCTTAGGGCACTTTTGATGAGTGCAAAGGTCGGCAGTCCACTCCTGTCATCATCCTTGAAGAGGAGGAGGATATTGAGCCAATGTAGACTGATCATACTATCGAAGGGCCCGAGCCGAGATCCAAGTAGGTTGGTCCGAGCTCCAAGCCTGAGCGATCAGATGTGATTGAGGAAGTTACGCCAGTTGCTATTGTGCCACCACCTCGGTTTGCTCCAGAGTGGTCAATAATGATATCGAACTGGATCATGGACCTCCGGGTGGTGCTTAAGATGAGTAGGGGGATTCTCCTCCTTGAGGATGTCAAGGACTTCACCGGTCAGCCTAGCCCCAGGTGCTCAGGGGGAAGCTCTACTGAGCCATTTTGCTAGTAAGAACTTGATCAATCTTCTTTAGGACCCTTTCCTTCCCCTTATTCTGATCCAAACTTGTCTTGTAGTCAAACACCTTGGCTCAGGTCCTTATAAACTGATGTGCAAACTTTGAATGTCAACATGAGCTACTAGGAGGAGAAGTGGAGGATCTTTGAGCTCAACTAGAGGGCTGCCGATGCAACCTGGTGCAGTTGTCAGAGCGGGTCACCATTATGGAGTTGGAGAAGACGGAGTTGACTAGGTGGCTGACCGAGTCCAAGAAGAATGTGGACTCGCTAATGATCGAGCTGAACGAGCGGTTTATCCAGTTGAAGGAACAACAAACCAACACATGCTGAGGACATCCTAGCTGTTGAAGTGAAGGTTGTCAATGCTTTTTGAGCCTTGTGCTGCTTCACAAAAGAAAAGGATAAATTTGCCACTAGTGCCATAAGGGAGGACTTCAAGTTATGTTGTAAGCTTGTCAGTTCGCTTACCCCTGATTATGACATCAGTTCCTTGGTGATCGACGTTGTCAGCCCTGGAATGGCCATGGAAGTCTATAATGAACCAGACTTAGGGGGAGACAAGGTCATCCTGGAGGACGACACTGAGGAGAGCAACAGCGAAAATGAGGGCAAGGGCAGCGAGGAAGTGGAATGCAGCGAGAACGGCAAAGGTGGTGAGGGTGGAGGAAGTAAGAGGGCTAATGGCGATGATCTGCCCCCAATCAACAATGACTTCTTTTGCATCGAAATCTTTTGCCAGTTAACGTGGTGAAGTATTTCCTTTCTTGTGCATGTTTCCATATGAAAATTCGTCTAAGTGTTGGAACGGTGTTAAAATGTTTTCTGAGGTGTTCATATACAGGCTCCTATGTTCAAATGTGAGTTTCGAGGTAACCCGAGGTATTGAAATGACTTTGGTTTAATGTTTAAACGGTTATAACCCGAGGTGCAGACTCCTAACTGAGGCATTCAGTTGCCCTATTTTAGTGAAGTTGTTGCGCGAGCATCACAAAAACAGAGCTCGGTCGCTGCCCAGGGCTGTTTGTCAATGAAATGTTGTCAAGATGACATGAATCGAAGAGAGCAAAGATAAATTGAATTGGAATTTGAACTACAAATTAAATCAAAGTACAACCGAAGTGTTTGTATTGATGAACTCTTAAAAGCGAGTCATACACTTTTTACATGATGAGCTCGAAAATTCTAAATGAAGTATTTCCTTAAGTTCTTGGCATTCCATGTTCGAGGTACTGGCAATCCAATCAGGGTACTTAACTTATCTAATGAAGTCGACGTGTAGGAGCTTCCCGACCTCCTCATCAATGGTTCTCCACTAATCAACGGTGAAGTTCCATTTCCTCAGCTTCATGGGCCTGACCAAAGGGTTCACATTTAGTTTATGGGTTATCATAGAGGGGTCTATGTTGGGCATGCTGATGGCCGACCAAGCAAAAACATCAAAGTTTAAGGCTAGGAATCTTACTAGTTTGGCGCATTGGGATTCCTCAATGAGCAACCCGACCTGCACTTTCTTTTCTATCTCAGTCTCAAAGAGAGGAACAAAGGCTGTCTCCTCGGCGGGTTTACCGTGCTCTTCCTTGGGCTGTTCAAGTGGGTCGAGGTCAACGTCCACAGCCAAAGATTTTTTGCCCTTGCCTTTCAGGGTCGCCACGTAACATTTATAGGACTCAAGCTGGTCCCCTCTAACTATGCGGGAACTTCATTGTAAGGTGGTATGTTGATACCATGGCTCGAAGGGCATGGATCAAAGAGCAACCTACAATGGCATTGTAGGGTGATGGTGAATCAACTATCAAGAAGTCGTGTTTGAGCCTCTACCTGTTTGGCACAGTCCCCGCTGAAACTAACAAGTTTATTTTTCCCATTGAGCACACAACATCCCCGCTAAAACCGACCAAAGGAACGTCGGTTGGGGTAAGGTCCAATGATTTCAATTTCATTTTTCAAGGGCCTCTAAGAACAAGATATTGGCTGAGCTTCCACTGTCTATGAGCATACGCTTCATCTCGTACTTTGTAATGATGAGCCTCACAACCAGCGTGTCATCGTATAGGAAATATACACCTTGAAGGTCATATTTAGTGAAGGAAATGACCTCTTGTAACATTTGCTTCTTTGGTTAATTCTCTTCTTCATGCTACAATTCCTTAACGAAAATTTTTCCTACTGAGGTATTGCACCCAACCATAATCGATCCTCCAATGATGGTTGCTATCTCTCCCATGATTTGCTCCTCATCATTAGTCTTGTTGTATTGGTTCCTAGGTTGCTCAAGCATGCATTCTTCCTTCTTTATAAGTTGCTTTAGGTAGCCCCTTTTGATCAACTCCTCGATCTCATTTTTGAGATCTCGGCAGTATTCAGTATCATGGCCCTTGGCCTTATGGAAGTGACAATACATGTCTTGGTTCTTGTTCTCTAGGTTTCCCTTCATGCCAGGTGGCCGCTTCAGGTACTCCGCATTCTTAATTTGCATGAGAATCTCCCCTCGTTTTGCATTGGGCGATGTAAAACTATAGTACTTGGCTGGGGGAGTTTGCGACCTTTTAGTTGGCAACTTTGATCTTCAGGACAACCTATGCCCACGCTGTCCTCTCTTGCTACTTTCTCTGCGGTTCTCGTCTCAACTCTTCCTCTTGCTTTCTCCCTGGTCACCTCAATCCACCATGAGCTCTTCTATGTTCATGTATTTCTGGGCACGATCAAGGAAGCTCTTCATGTTTAATGGGGGATTCTTGGCCAGGGAGACCCTAAGGAATTGATTTCACACTCCACGGGTTGTAGTAGTGACTTGCACTACTGGATCGATATCTCGGACTTGCAAACATTCTAAGTTGAATCTACGGATGTACTCCCGGATACTTTCTCCAGAACGTTGGAAAACAGGCATCAAGCTTGCTGCGGTCTTAGTGTACCTTCGACTAGTGGCAAAGTGAGAGATAAACACGTCAAAAAACTATTTCCAACTAGTAATGGAGCCTGGTGCAAATTTGGCAAAACATGGTAGGGAAATCCCGACATATACTAGCCTCTATGGCCCCATGAAGAAGCATGAGAGCCTAGGAGCTTTCTATGTGGTCCATAGGGTCGATTGTATCGTCATAGGTTTCGAGGTTCTGCATCTTGAGTCTTTTGGATGTGACTCGATGATGATTTCAATAAACAAGGGAGAAGGGCGAGCAAGTTTGGGAATGCTAGAGGTTTTCACATGGCTTGCCAACTGAGTAGCAGTGGCATGTTGTTCCACATGGGGTCCCAAACGGTCCAACACTGAGGTGCAGTGTGGATGCCTCCTGGGTCTGTCGTGTCGCAAACCGGCCATAAAGCGGGATGCTTTGGTTTCGAGTGTGGTAGTGGCCTTGCTACCCATGTTGTCAAAAATGTACATGGGGTCCTGCTATCTCGACATAACCATTCATGTACGGCTCCTCGGGGAACGAGCCCATGAGTGTTAGCAGTCGTTGTTCGAGGTGACCTGCTTACCACGGTCCCCCATGTCAGCGACCTACTTGTCACGATTCTGAGGTTGGTACTTGCCATTGGGGGTTTTTCTATTGGTGTTCGGCAGAGAGCCCTATGCTAGTGTTTGCATAGAGGGTTGTCCCATTGCAGCCATGCGTTGTTCCCATGTCTACATTCGGAGGTCGATACCCCATATGTAGGTCATCAACTCCTGAAACTAT